TTCGATTCTCCGATTTGTTGATTGTTGGAAGCACTGGAAGTGCTGCTTATATGGTTGATTGTTAGAGAGCTCTTCCGCCCATCCATGGTTTTCTACGCTTTTTGTCTTTGCCTTCCGGTGGGCTACTCTTGGTTTTCAAATTTTGTATTTGAAAAAAGTGGGTACGAGGCCAACAGAGAATTGGTTCGCCGGTTTGAGTAACTGACCGCGGTCGTCCACGAGACTTTTTAATTAATTATAATAATATGTTATTCTTAGTCATTAATTTATTTTTACATTGAAAAACTATTTTAAAAATTAAAAAAATAAAATAAAACTTAATACGTGGCATGTTATTTTTATGTATACTAGCATTTTTATGCCCGTTGTTGCACGTGTGATCACTTTATTTTTTATCTTTTATTAATTTTTTATACTTGCTCTTTAAAGTTATTTTTCTATAAAAATAATTATCTATCAAAATAAAAATTAGAAAATAAAATCATGAATTAATAAAATCACGTTGTATTGAGAAAAAGCAAGAATTTAAGAATTATTATTATTATAACTTTTTCAACATCTAATGTAAATTTTATTTTTTTTTGTTTTTGTATTACCTGCAATGTAAATCTAGTGTGTAATATTCTGACCCAAAATTCGATTTTAGATCAATTTTGATATTTTAAAAATAAATTATAAATTAATTATTATTCAGTTTTATTAAATTATTAAAAAAATAGGTATGGATGTAATTGAAAACAATTTTAGAGAAAAATTGGAAAAAATTTGAATTTGGTGGGTGTTTTTTGAAAGAAAAATAGAAACAAAAGGTCATTTGGTCCCTCTTCAAGATAATCCAATTCCTCTTCAACAGGATGCAGTAGGACTTGCCAACACCGCAACAAGGACCATGAGAACCGACCCTACTATCGCCTCAACAACACCTGCCGCATCTACGAAAGTGCCCAGCACTACGCGAGAAAGTGTATGCAGAATCAAAAATTAGGTCAGACCTCCAGTCTAGGGCGTAGTTTATACCCTCATCCAGAAGGATGCTGAAACCAACTCGGACGTGACATAGGACGAACCTAAAGATGAAGTTTATATTCAAGAAATTCCTGTGCCCCGAGAATTTTCGGATGTGTTCCTTGATGAACTACCTGAACTACTAGTGAACAGGGAAGTTGAGTTCACCATAGGCCTTCAACCTAACATCCAGCCTATCTTAATTGCCCCTTACCACATGAGTCGTGTAGAAATGAAGAAACAGATCAAAGAATTGTAGGATAGTGGGTTCAACTAATGTAGTGTATCTCATTGGGGTGCTGGAGTCACATTTGCAAAAAAAGGGAATAAGACACTGAGAATATGTATTGACTACAAGAGATTGAACAGGGTCACGATCAAGAATAAGTACCCCCTCCCTAGGATTGATGACCTTTTTGACCAGTTGCAGGGTGCCTAGGTTTTCTCCAAAATAGACTTGAGTTCAGGTTACCATCAGGTAAAGATTAAGGCAGAGGGCATTCCTAATACAGTCTTCTGAATCAGGTATGGACACTCTGAATTCCTAGTCATGCCATTTAGACTAACCAATGCACCAGCCATTTTTATGGACTTAATAAACAAGATTTTCAGATAATTCCTGGATCAGTTCGTTATTATATTTATCGATGATATCCTGGTCTATTTAAAAAGCATAGAGGAACACGTTCACCACCTAACTCAGATTTTGTAGATTTTTAGGAAAAAGAAATTATATGCAAAATTGAGTAAATGTGGGTTTTGAATCAAGCAAACTACCTTCTTAGAGCACATTATATCAAGGAATAGAGTGTTAGTGAACCCTAAAAAAGTTGAAGCGGTGCTTGGTTGGGAGAAATTGACTTCGGTCAACGAGATTCGTAACTTTCTAAGAATGACAGGTTATTACCGTAGATTTGTAGAAGGATTTTCTAGCCTAGCCGTTCCTTTAACCCGGCTCATAAAGAAGAACGTGAAGTTTGAGTAGAACAAGAATTGCGAAATAAGCTTTTCAGAACTCAAGAAGTAATTGACTACTGCACCCGTGTTGGCTTTACCGAGCAGGGCAGGTGGATATATAGTTTATAGGGATGCCTCCTACCTAGGTTTGGTTGTGTTCTGATGCAGCATGGGAATGTCATAACCTATGGGTCCAGACAGTTAAAGAGTCATGAAAAAAATTACCCTACTCATGACTTAGAACTTATTGCTATTATCCACGTCTTAAAAACTTGGAGCCACTAGTTATATAGGGAGACTTTTGAGATCTATACCGACCATAAGAGCTTGAAACACATATTCACTCATAAGGATCTCAACATGCATAAGAGATGTTGGATAGAGCTCCTCAAGGACTACGATTGCCATATTTTGTATCACCCAAGTAAGGACAATGTAGTAGTCGAAGCGCTCAGCAAAAAAAATGTAGGTATGTTAGCTCACCTAATAGTTTTAAAATGTAGGGTAATAGAAGCTGCACAACAGATACGACCTCAGGACTTTAAAAGAGTTACATGTTTGGTCTACCTAACTATTCAACCTAAATTGATAGAGAGAATAAAGTAAGCTCAATCTATTGATTCCACCATAGCAGCTCTCAAGAAGGATACAGAAAAAGAAGTAAATTCAAAATTCCAAGTCTCTATCAATGGGTTGCTCAGATTTCAGGACATGGTATGTATTTTAGGTGACAGTGAACTGAAAAATGACATCATGATAGAGGTTCATAACTCAAAATTCGTCATGCATTCTGGAAGTAGTAAAATGTATCAAAGTATGCGACCTCAGTTTTAGTGAAGAAAGATGAAAAGAGAGGTAGCCAACTTTGTTTTCAAGTATTTAGTATGTCAACAGGTTAAGGCAAAACATCAATACTCAGGTGGGCTACTTTAGCTATTACCGATCCCGGAGTTGAAGTGGGAACTTATCACAATAGATTTTGTGATAGGGTTCCCTATGGCACGCTCAGGACATGATGTCGTTTAGGTAATTGTCGACCGACTCACCAAGTCTTCTCACTTCTTGGCTATCAAGATGACCAACCCCTTGGACAATCTAGCAAGAATGTATATCCGAAAGATAGTCAGGTTACATGGAGTGTCAGTAACAGTAGTATCCGACAGAAGACTCAGGTTCACTTCTTAGTTTTGGTCTAGTTTTCAGTAAGTCATGAGAACAAAACTGTCTCTTAGTACCGCATTCCACCCTTAGACCGATGGACAATCAGAGAGGATAATTCACACACTAGAGGATATACTCTGAGCTTATGTTCTACATTTCGAGGGCCATTAGGATGATCACCTACCTTTAATAGAATTCGCTTACAATAACAATTACAAGGAAAGTATCGGCATGGCTCCGTACAAGACATTATATGGTTGTCCATGCAGATCGCTGATCTGTTAAAAAGAGGTGGGTGATAGAAAATTATTCAGGCCAAATCTTGTAGAGGAGATTACAGTCAAGATAGTTAAGATCAAGAAGAATATCCAAACAGCTTAGAATAGACATAAGAGTTATGCGGACACCCAGAAGAGGAATTTAGAATTTGAGAAAGGTTATCGAGTATTTTTTAAAGTCATTTCTTTTAAGAAAATCAGTAGATTTGACAATAGAAAAAAATTAAATCCCTGATTCATTGGGCCATTTGAGATCTTAGACATTATTAGTACGACCACCTACAGACTGGCACTACCTCCAGAGCTATCCAAAGTTTATAATGTGTTTCATGTGTCCATGCTACGTGAGTACAACTCGAACTCCTCATACATCTTGTCCCACGAGTCCCCTTCACTCTCTGAGGATCTATTCTATGAGGAGATACTAGTGGACATGTAGACGAAAAAAATAGAGTACTCCAAAACAGAGAAATTTCCTTCGTCAAGCTCCTATGGCAAAATTACACACATAAAGAGACCACATGGGAGTTAGAATCGGACTTTAGAGCCCAGTATCCCCAATTGTTTGACTAAGTGAGAGGGTGACAAATTTGATGGACTAAATTTCTTCTTAAGAGGGAAGAGTTG